AAGTAAATTGCCCAGTCTTCCTTCCAAGGAGTGGCTGATGGATTTGAACTACCAGTCTTCTAGTTAGCAGTCAAGTGCCTAAGGCACTATGCTACCTCTATACAATGGGGGGAAAGAGCAATCTCTGAATTGGACAAGCATGGTATGCAGGAGGTTACAATTTTCATTTTGTTTATAGAGGCTCCTTATTTTCTGTGCTGCATTATTATGACAACTCTTATGAATGCTGCTGTTGTTGTTGTAGGTGCTGTTGGGTCGATTCTCACTCAAGTGACCCTTTGAATGAAACACCACCCAGACCTGCGCCATCCTCACAGTCCCTGCTATGCTTGAGCCCATCATTACAGTCACTGTCTCAATCCGTCCCATTGAGGCCCTTCCCCTTCTTAACTGACCCTCCACTTTACCGAGCATGATATCCTTCTCCAAGGAATGGCCCCTTCTGACCACATGACTAAAGTAGGTGCAAAGAATTCTGGTCATTCTCACTTCTAAGAAGTATTCCGGCTGCACTTCTTCCAGGACAGATTTGTTCGTTCTGCTGGGAGTCCATGGTACTTTCAGTATTCTTTGCCAATCGCACAATTCAAAGGCATCAACTCTTCTTCAGTCTTAAGAAACTGCATTTTCCAGAACCCCATTCCTTTTATGGTTCTGGGTTGATGTGTGGGTCAAGGCACTACGTGTCCCATTTCTCTCTGGTTTCTGGAAATAATCCTTTGAGTCTCTCTAGCAATCGAGGTATCTTTGTTTTTCTAAAACATCCAGGCTGCACTTAAACATGTGCATACATATAGGGGCTACACAGGCCTCAGGAAGGGAGGAGGCATCATAAAGTTAATCATGCATATTCATTGAGTCAATCAGATGCATAAGGTCTGAATGGCTAAGGGATGCTGGAACTTGGAGAGTTCTCTTTTATGGCTTCCTGGATTGGTGAGAATATTCATACACAGGAGAGGATGTGGCACATCCCAAGAGGGATAAAGGTGCCATTCCTGGACCTTTTCCAGACCTAGCTTGATGTGTCTCTTTACTTGTATCCTTTGTGGTTATAATAAATGGGTGACTGTAATATTGTTATTGGGTGCTGTCGAGTTAATTCCAACTCATAGCAACCCCATGTGACAGAGTAGCCCCATAAAATATTCCCCTATTGTAGCCCCATGGTATTTTCTTGTCTGTCATCCCCATGAAAGCAAACCTCTTTGTCCTTCTCCTGCAGAAAAGCTGACTAGGTTTGAAGTGTCAACCTTTCAGTTAGCAACCAAGGGTTAACCATTACACCACCGGAGCTTCTAAAGCTGGTTCCAAGGTGTAAGGGTGAGAACACAGCTGAGAGGAAGCTCCTGACTGAAGAACTGTCTCCTGAGTTGTTTCTGATCCTGAATTGTAACCTGCTACTTCCCTAATAAGGAGCTCTGGTAGCATAGTGGCTAAGACACTTGACTGTTAACCAGACGGCTGGCGGTTCAAACCCCCCAGCCACTCCTCGGAAGGAAGGTTGGGCAATCCTACTTCCGTAGTGATACTGCCTTGGAAACCCAAGGAGGGGTCGCTATGAGTCGGGGCCGACTCGACGGCACATAACAACAACAACAACAACACTTCCCTAATAAGCCACATCACCATGAATATTGCCTGTCAGTTCAGTGTGGATGTTGCAACAACTACAGAGAACCATGAGAGAGACGGTTGGCGTCAGAACTGGTAAAAAGGTTGGAGGGTGGTGGCATGCCTGACCTCTGTCTCACGGGAATCAGCCTTGGGATTTTGATGTCTTTCTGGATCCTCCTTCCCCCTTGTGAAGTTAGAGGTGGTGAGACGATGCTTCCCCCTCCCCCCTGCTCTTTTTGCTATGGGATATCAATCAGTAAATTTTAAAACTACAAAGTACAATACCACATGTTGTTTATGGATAAATATATATATACTGGAAATACTTTTAAATGGACATGAGAAACAATTTTCTTAAGTTTTTTTTTGAGAGAGGAAGGACTTATGGAACTGAGGAAAAAAATTCAAAGGGATGACAATTTTATCTGTAATGTACTATTGAAAAAAAAAATTCTAAAGCTTTCCATGTGGATATAGCTTTATCTCTTGAGCAATCTACTTCTGTAGAGATACTGCCTCAGGGACCCAAGGAGGGGTCACTATGATTCAGGACCAACTTGACAGGAAGTGAGGTTTTTTTTGTTTATTCATATGAAGACATATGGATAATAAAATATTAATTTTTTTTAATGTTATAATTTTCTCTTAGGAGCTCTGGTAGCATAGTGCCTAAGGCACTTGACTGCTAACTAGAAGGCTGGCGGTTCAAACCCACCAGCCACTCCTTGGAAGGAAGATAGGGCAATCTACTTCCATAGTGATACTGCCTCGGAAACCCAAGGAGGGGTCACTATGAGTCAGGTCTGACTCGACGGCACTAAAACAACAACAACAATTTTCTCTTATGGCATAACATAATTATGTTAACATAATAAGAGAATTTTACTCCCTTGTGAATGTATTTATGCATTATGCAAAGTTTTTCACAATTATAAACTGATTATATAAATAAAACTACTTTGATATTTCAGGCAAGACTGAAGCGTGGGGTCTTTCTTGCTAGCACTTTTTTGTGTTCAATTTTCAGCTTCAGTTTGGAATTGAAAATGATAAAAATGACCAAAACACAAAGAAATTAAAATCTAGTATTTATTCCAAGCAGTCATTCTATATGCATACAGGGTAATCATTTTGTCTCTAAAACCAAATTGCTCAAAGTAGCCTAGTTACAATTGTAAAAAATAAATAAATAAACAAGCCTTTGAATTTTCTCAAAAATAATATAATATCTACTTCATGATTTCATAAACAAATTGCAAAGAAGAGAAGCTCCTGAGGATTCAAAATTTCACAGAAGCCTAAATATTTTTTTCTTAATATAAGTTTGAACAGAGACCAAGTGCTTCATGGTTACTGAGTTAACGTGAAAAGTAACTCCTGAAAAATGTGACACTTTACCCACTTGTACCTCTGGTAGCATAGAGCCTAAGGCATTTGACTGCTAACCAGAAGGCTGACGCTTCAAACCCACCACCTACTCCTTGGAAAGAAGAATGGCAATCTGCTTCTGTAGAGATACCACCTCAGAAACCCGAGGAGGGGTTGTCTCAATGAGCAGTGAGCTATAGTTGACCTATGAGAACTCTTGAAATTAAAATTAGAGAAACACACAGTCTTTTTTCTTAAATCACAAGGTAAGAAGTTTTCTATTGAAAAGAAACAAATGTACAATGCTATAGAGCAG